GCAACTTACTTTCTTCATTCAATAAAATAACATAAGATGATGTATTTAAAGCACATGGCTCAGTGCTCTATCCATGGGAGCTATAACTATTCAATGCGCCTTGTAGTGATGTTTTTAAATTTTCTTTTGGCAGCAGAACACTTAGTAAACAAAATAGTATATGTGTGTTAGTCGCTCAGTCATGTCCAACTCTTTGTGACCCCATGCACTGTAGCTCACAGGCTCTTCTGTCCATGGGATTTCCCAGGCAAGATAATGGAGTGAGTAGCCATTCCATTCTCCAGGGGAGCTTCCTGACCCAGGGTTTGAACCCAGGTCTCCTGCGTTGCAGACAGATTCTTTACTGTCTGAGCTACCAGGGTGGAAGCCCCTTTGTAGAGTGGAGCCACCAGGCTCAGGTGAAAGTGGGTCAAGTGGAGGGCGCAGAGTCCCTCACCCACCCGTCTCCCCATCACTGTTAGGAAACCTTAGTGTGTTGGGTAGGATGTGAGTGCATCATGTTTACTGAGTGGCATTATTTTGGGTGTACACTGTCCAGGGAGTTTTCACTCAGCTTGGAAGATCCCAGCCAGCTGGGATTGGAAGGTTTTCTTCCCAAATAGGTTGAAAGAGCTCGAGCATTCTCAGGCTGGAGCAAATCTTGGTGAATCATGTAGCCCAGTGGTTCCTGCTTGGTTCCATGCTGGTCTGTGATGGAGACCAGTCTGTGATGGAGAAATGAAAAAAAGTCAATGAGGTGAGATGTCCATGGAGTTAAGCTTATTCCCTGGGGAAGGGAAAGGCTACCCACTCCAGTATTCTGGCCTGGAGAATTCCATGGCCTGTACAGTCCATGGCATCGCAAAGAGTCAGACACAACCGAGCGACTTTCACTTTCAAGCTTATTCAAACATTTTTTATTGCCACTGAAATATATTTTCTTTCATAAACTTATGGTGGTAATAATTAGTAGTTGTGTGTGTGTTTTAATGTCTTACCTAAATAAAAATTTGGCCACTTTATGTTGGTCCCCTAAATTTGTTTCAACATTTTACTGATCCATGGGATTCTGAAGTCTAGAGACAGCTGTTTCAGTCCATTGTGGTAACTTTGCCAGGACCTCGCTAGAACAATCCCAGACAGACAGTCTTGTGCCAGGCAAGTCTGAGAACCACTATCCTACATTGAAGTTGCAACAGCTCTTCCAGGGCTGAGAGTGCACAGAACCACACCCTGCACAGCTGAGAGTGCACAGTCCCCCCTACCCTGGGGACTGTAGCCCAAGGAAGCCCCTTGCTCAGTAGCATTCTCACTTGCCTCATTGCCACCACTCTCTGGGAGCCAGAGCTGAACTGAGAACTCAAACTTGTTGCTGGTTTTCGGTTGCTAAGTCGTGTGCGACTCTTTGTGACACCACGGACTGCAGCACGCCAGGCTTCTCTGTCCTCCACTGTCTCCTGGAATTTGCTCAAATTCGTGTCTATTGAGTCAGTGATGGTATCTAACCATCTCATCTTCTGCTGCTTCCTTCTCCTTTTGCCTTCAGTCTTTCCCAGCACCAAGATTTCTTTTTCCAGTGAGTCAGTTCTTTGCATCGGGTGGCCAAAGTTGGAGCTTCAGCTTCAGCATCAGTCCTTCCAATGAATATTCAGGGTTGATTTCCTTTAGGATTGGCAGGTTTGATCTCCTTGCAGTTCAAGGGACTCTCAAGAGCCTTCTCCAGCACGATGGTTCGAAGGAATCAATTCTTTGGTGCTCAGCCCTCTTTATGGTCCAATTCTCATATCCATACGTGACTTCTGGAAAAACCATAGCTTTGACTAGATGGACCTTTGTTGGCAAAGTGGTTTTTCTGCTTTTTAATATGCTGTCAAGGTTTGTCATAGTTTTGCTTCCAAAGAACAGGTGCCTCTGAATTTCAAGGCTGCGGTCACCATCCACAATGATTTTCGAGCCCAAGAAAAGAAAACCTGTCACTGTTTCCACTTTTTCTCTATGTGCCATGAAGTGGTGAGACTGGATGCCATGATCTTAGTTTTTTGAATGTTGAATTTCAAGCCAGCTTTTTCATTCTCCTTTTTCACTCTCATGAAGAGGCTCTTTAGTTCGTCTTCACTTTCTGCCATTGGAGAGGTATCATCTGCATATCTGAGGTTGTTATTTCTCCCAGGTCGCCTCCCTCCCTGCCCACCTCCATAGACTGTGCTGGGGCTTATAAAGGGAGATCATGGTCTCCTTCTAGGGGTGCTTTCAGCATAAGACATAGAACCAAGGCTTCCTCCTTGGCTGTGAGCCTCTCAGAAGTTAAGACTTTGATTTCTGTCATTTAACTCAAAGTCCCCATCACAGCAATAGATGACAATAGATTGAGCTCAGAAGGCTGTGGTTGTTAAAAATGTGTTGCCACCAGGTTAGTCACTTGGCCCTTTGTATGTAAGAATGCTTGGACAGTGTAACAAGATATCTGGGGGTATCTTTTATTCCCCTTAGATGGAGAAGAATTTTTGGTGGTTTGGGGAGAGATATTTTGTCTGAACTGTAGCTAGCACTTTTTTTTTTCTTTGTTCATGTGAGAATTCTGACATAGTTTTCAACTTGTGACCACTTACTTATATTTGCAAAATAATCTCATGGTCTCAGTCTTTCTCTTGGTCCTCACCACAGCCCAGTGAGGTGGGTGTCACCCTTCTTGTTTTACTGATTGCACCTGAGTTTCAGGGGAACTCAGTGACTGCTCACATGGGAGGCAGAACTGACATCTGCCTAGCCCAAATCCTATCCTCTATCCTCTGTATAGACAGGCCCTTTCTACAACTAGGGAATTTTTTTTTTTTCCATTCTCTGCAAAGTTGAACCATTGGCCCTTAAGGGATTTGAACTCAGCATTCGTGGGGTCATTAGCATTGAGTTCCAATCAGAGAAACAAGTGATGGCCACAATAACAACGGTGACCGCAAACCTCCAAGAGAGGACCCTTTGAGTTTTCCACCTCAACCAGATTGGAGAGCTCTTTGTCAGCACTTCAAGTTCAGAAATGTCCCAGGTGGTCTGGGCAGAACCTGAACTACTGCGTCCGCTTCCCTGGGTGCTCTGTAATGCTGACACCATGCTGAGCCAAGGCACCAGCCTAGTGCCACAAGGAGGGGACTCCCGCTGACCCACCAGCCCACTTACCTCTCACTCTTTGGTGAACTCTTATAAGCCATTGGAAGGCTTGTGTTTTCTGCTGCAGTTAATTGTGCTGACTTTCTCCTGGGAATGAAGAGCAGTTGCCTGAGCGTTGGGCTCTCAGTTCTGGTCCATGACAGCTTCCAGAGTTTCCGGGGTGGTGAACGGGCCCTCTCTCCCATTCCAGCTTTCAAACCTGGGGAGCAGGCTGAGGCCTGGTCAGGGCTATCAGCGTGAGGATGGCGGTTGGTCGCCCTGAAGAAGAGCAGCACTGAAGCTCACGGGAGCCAAGTCCTAGACCAACAGGGCAAGGGAAGGGCTGGAAGGTGTCAGACTCTGAGCCCTGTCCTGGTAGGACTTCAGCCAGGAAAGGAGGACAGGGGGACTGCTCATGGCCTGGACCCCTGGGGCCAACACAGCTGGAGTTGGGACGGTGGAGGGAGAGGGTCCCAGGACCTTATGCTGCTTGGGCAAGGAATCCAATGGAGAGGGTCGGGGTGGGGCCTGCTGGAGGAAAGAGCACCACCCGAGGCCAGTGCAGAAGCTTCTTGGCTGAGCTTCTCTTGTGGTCTGGGCTGTCTTATTGGGTGGCACAGGGGTCTCTCTGCCCTGGATTGGAATCCTGGGGTCTGATTTACTGTTGTATAATCTTGAGCTAATAATTACTCTCTCAGCTTCAGTGTCTACAAGGCGCTCATACCCACCACAGTCCAGACAGTGTCCTGTATACAGTGGTTCATATACATTGTAACAGTGACAGAGTAGTTACAACGGAGGCTGCCTTGTAGAATAGCCTGCCTAATAACAGATACGTAAAGAACACGTTCAGAGTTATGAGACCAACCGCTCAAATACCTCAAATACCAAAGACATGAGCAGAAAATTTTCACAAGTGTTAAATAGATGTGTCAAAAAATTCAACCTCAGAAATAACAAAAAGGGAGCTAAGGTAACACTGAAGTATCATTTATGATGATTGTTACTGACTTATGAAAAATGAATAATATGTTATGCTGGTGAAGCTGCAGTCCAAATGGTACATGTATACATTTTGATGCAGCTTTTTAGGAGCACTGTCTCCAGTGTATACCTAGAGCCATAAATGTTTGTAATCTTTGGAATTAATTGCATTCTAGTCCATGGAATTAAGCCTAAAATAATAATCATTTTCAAAATATTTCTTACAAGAAATTTTCAAACATACAATAAAAATTAGTTTAATGAACCCCCACACTAAAAGAATATTTTTAGTATTTATTTATTTGGCTGTGCCAAGCCTTAGTTTCAGCACATGAGATCTTCATTGCCACATGTGGAATCTTCATTGCTGCAGGCAGTTTCTAATTCCCTGACCAAGGATTGAACCCAGGCCCCCCTGCATTGGGAGCATGGAGTCTTAACCGCTGGACCACCAGGAAGTCCCCTAAAAGAATATTTTAACTGAAGAAAAAAAGCCATATGAGTCAGGACAGGTGCTGGACTCAATTTTAGGGTGGGGCTAGTCCATAAGAGTCTCCAACTCTACAAATGTCAGAGCTACATGAGACCAGTCTAACACCTTCATTTTGCAGTCGAGAGCCTTGAGGCCCAGGGAGGCTAAGTGACTTGCCCAGAATACCTAGCCAAAGCCTGGCAGTCCCACACAAAAGTGGGCACTCCCACCAAACCAGCCAGCTGACCTGGACCCTTTCTCCCTGTCTCGGGGCACCTCCATTTTCCTGGAGTTGGGAAGAAGGCAGCCAAGTAGAGAACACTCTCCCAGTGCAGAGGCAGGGGCTGGATGTCCTGAACTGGAAGGGCACAGGGACACTGCTCCCGGGAATGCCAACCTCATGCCTCGCTTGTCTCCCCAGGACCCTGAGTGGGCTCAGCCAGACCCACTCCTCCCAGCAGCATGCGGGGCTGTCCCAGACCGCCCGACTTTATCCAGCCCCTGCGGCCAGCGGCCAGCTGACCTCCAATGCCCTGCCCATGGGGCCAGGTCCTGAGCGGAGAGATGGTGCCCCACAGGCAGCATATCTGGACCACCCGTCATCCTCCTGGGGTAAGGATGCCCTGTCTCCGGGTCCTCATAGAGCCTCTTTCTCCCCACCACGGCTTCCCCACTTCACTCTCTCAGAAAGGCTGAGTTGTCACCCTGTCCCTCATCCTTTCAGCCAATGGACAGTTGTCAAGCACCTGCTTTGTACCAGGCTCCAGGGGTCCCAAGCCAGCTGTTAGAGACTGTGCCCCCTTGAGACACTTAGACCTTGACTTGTCCTTTTCCGCCCCATCTATCACCTGTCCTGCCTTTGCGTCCTTCGTATCCAGCTGTGAACCTCACCTCCCCAGCCCCAGCCCCAGTCCTTCCCCTTCATCCTTTCTGCAAAGCCCGAGCCTCCTGGACCAACCTGACCAGTCGCTTCTTTAGCCCCTACAGCCCGACCTCTGCTTCTCAGAGGAGAGAACGGAGCACCCCTGAGGATTCCACCTTTGCACATCCTTGGTCGTTGCTTGGCAATCCTTCCTGGGGTGCCTGGATGCTTTGTCTCTCTCATTCCTCAGAGCAGCCTCTCCAAGCGGCCCCCACCTTCCCCAGCTCCATCCTGTGGCCATGCTTCTCACTCCCCAGAGTCCTTACCTTCCTGCCCCCATATGTGCCCCACCTCCATGCCATGCACGTCATTACCTTGCCTAAACCCATGCCTGAGCTGACTGCCTTTCTTTGTTTCCCATTTTTAAAGTTGAGGTGAAATTCACATAATGTAAAATTAACCATTTTAAAGGGTACATCTCCATGGTTTTCAGGATATCCACAATTTGATGCAGCCACCACCACCACTGTCTAATTACAGAACATTGCCATAACCCCAAAAAGAAGCCCCATGCCCGTTAAGTAGTCCCTCTCTTCCCCCCTACCCCCACCCCCTTGCTGTCCTTAAAGATTTGCCAATCGTGGGCATTTCGTGTAAACGGGATCTTACCATGTGTGGCCTTTTGTGTCTGGCTCCATCACTTGGTATAGTGTTCTCACAGTGGATCTGTGTTGCGGACAACATGCATGAGTGATCTTTTTTGCCGTCTTGAAAAGGAAGCGCCCCTCCTCTTGTCTAAGGCATGTGCCACTGTTTCTTGACTCCTCTGGACCCCTAGGTTGTCACTTGGCCTCCCCCACCCTGGTTCTCCTCCCCTCTTTGGACTATCCTGCCCCCAGCCCTTCCCCTACAGCATATACAGTTGCTTATAAATCTCCCATTCTCTCTGTCTCTCATAAACACACACACACACACACACACACAAGGTTATTTTCCTCTGCCTTCCTGTCTGTCTCTGCTTGCTTCACAGTCAAGTCTATACAGACCTTTTATAGTTCCCTTCTCAGCCCCTCTGCCTCCTGGCTTCACTCCCTGGCCCCCAGGATGGAATGAATACCCCTCCTTTGCACATCTGCTGTCACCACTCATGTTGAATGATGCACCCTCCTCTTACTCTGCCATAGTGACTGCCCAACCGCTCATCCTGCCTCCCCAATCACCTGCGCACCCCAGCTTGGAGGACACGACACCTCCACTTCCCTTTGACCTCTCCCTGAAAATTGTCAATGATTTCCCACCACCAGCTGAATAAAGCGCCCTATCCTTGTTCTGGCCCTTGGGCTTCCAAAACCTGACTCTCATCCTTCTTTCAGGCATTCTCTTGGAAAACTGTCTACGCTGGCAAGTCTGAGCTGCATTCTGTTCTCTGTGCTGGGGTTCAGAGCCCAGCTGCCTCCCTTGCCAGCTGTGTGACATGGGATACAATCCATCCCTCACTGAGCCACAGTTTCCTTACCTGTCAGATGGGAATGCTAACTGGGATCTAGGAACATGGCCAATATTCAACCACTTTAACCTACAAAGATGGCAATTTCTAATGGTTCTACCTAAAATAAGACTCCAGAGGGTTGAGAGCGGTTGTGCATGAAGCCTGAACTCAGTTGCTGGCCCATCAGCATCCCTCAGGAGATGTTGGACCGTGAGCTGTTACCCTGCCCCCACTATGGGACTTTGCATCCAGGAGGGACTTAGCAAATGCCCTTGGGATGAATTCAAGCCAGTCCCATGTGGGTTTTTCTAGCCAGCATCTGGAGGTCACAGCTGTGCCTCTCAGCCCTGCCCCCTGGACCCAAGCCCTCTCTCTGCAGGGCTGAATCTCACGGAGAAAATCAAGAAGATCAAGATCGTCTTCACTCCCACCATCTGCAAGCAGACCTGTGCCCGCGGGCGCTGTGCCAACAGCTGTGAGCGTGGGGACACCACCACCCTGTACAGTCAGAGCGGCCACGGGCACGACCCCAAGTCTGGATTCCGCATCTGTGAGTCCATCCCCAGCTCAGAAGGTTCCTGACTGGCCCTGGGGGCGGGGTGGGAGTGGGGGTTTGTGGGGGGGGCAGCTGGTCAGAGGGACCGGCCTGCCTTGGCCTGGAGCCCAGATCTTCTGCAGGAAGGAAGCCCAGAGCTCTCCTACTGTGGCTGCCGTGAGCTGTCTCGGGTCACACAACGCTGAGTCCTCACGCAGCTCTGTCACGTGTGACTCGGCAGGTCACACAACCTCTCTGAGTCCCAGTTTCCTCATAGAGAGGTGAAGGAGTAAATAGGGCCACTCCCCTCACCATCCTCCAGGTCACCATGGGGCTGCAGAAAGGCAAGGCCTAGTTATTATCCATCCTCCTTCACTCCCAGGCCTCCTGGAAAGTCCCTGCATTTCCGAGGGGACCGGGTTCCGGAAGCCATCAGACTTGGGGGCCTGGTCCCCCCTCCCCCCACCCCGCTGGCCCACACAGTAGGTGCTGCTGTTCACTTCCACCACCAGTCACCCTGAGGTCGGTGTTGTAGATTTTTGCCAGATCCCCTGCCTGAACGGGGGCCGCTGCATCGGCAGGGACGAGTGCTGGTGCCCCGCCAACTCCACCGGGAAGTTCTGCCACCTGCCTGCCCCCAGGCTGGACCAGGAACCTCCAGAGAGGGGCCCCCGCCACAGGGCCCCGCTGGAGGGCCCCTTGAAGCAGTCCACCTTCACGCTGCCTCTCTCCAACCAGCTGGGTGAGTGTGGGGCTGGGGAACCGCGTGGGGTGGGTGCTGGCACCCTGATAGAGGAGATGGGAGTCTCCAGCACCTCCTCCTGATAGAGGAGTCTCCAGCACCTCCTTCTCCTCCATCCTCAGGGCTCAGTTTCATTCCCTAAATTTTTCTCTGCCTTTCCTTCTGAGTTCATCAATTTATTTATTTATGTATTTTTTGGCCCTTACCCTCTACTGGGTGCTATGAGTAAGACAAAAGAGTCTAAGGGTAGGGTCCTGACTTGAAGGAACCCATGGGTCCTGGACAGTAGAGGGAAGATGCCTCTATTATTAGGTGCCAAATAAAGGGTACAAAAAAAGTACAGACTTTTGTAGGAGATCAGGAGAGAGACCCGACCTCGGGGTGTTCTGGGAAGGCTGCCTGGAGGAGGTAGACTTCAGTCAGGCCTTAAACAATGGGTTGGCTTTGGTTAAGCAGAGGGGAGTGGGAGGGCTTCTGGGGCAGAGGGACCAGTCTGAACAAAGGCATGGGGTGGGGACCATGCAGAGTTGGTTGGGCTGGAGCCCAAGGGCTGTGCAGGATCCTGGGAGGAAGTGGAATCAGGAAGGTACTTTGGAAGTTGGTAAGGAAGGTTCTTCATAGGAAGGTGTGGAATGAAGGAGTCTGCTTTGCCCTGTCCTCCCTGAGAAATTCTTCTGGGGTTTGGGTAGAGAGTGAAGAAACGGAGGAGAAATGTGGGGAGACACACAGCGGCCCACCTGGCCCAGGGCTGATGGCGCGCCTCAGGGGGTGGGGCCCTGTGTCCCCACCTCTGACCCCAGCCCCTGTGCCCAGCCTCGGTGAACCCCTCCTTGGTGAAGGTGCACATCCGCCACCCACCTGAGGCCTCAGTGCAGATCCACCAGGTGGCTCGGGTGCGGGGCGAGGCCGAGGAGGCCCCAGAGGAGAACAGCGTGGAGACCAGGCCCTCGCCCCGGCTCCCTGCCGGCCCCGGCCACGGCCACTGGGACAGCAACCGCATCCCCGCCCGGTCCGGAGAAACTCCCCGGCTACCTCCCGCCGTGGTGCCCAGGACTCCGGCCCTGCTGGGCCGATGCTACCTGAGCACTTTAAACGGACAGGTGAGACCGCGGCTCCAGCCCTGGCCCCGCACTGCTCCCCGCAGTGCCCCTCCTCCTTCTCTCTCCTCCTCCTTCTTAGACAATGTGGGCGTCTGCAGGGTCTCCCATTTCCCAGATGGGAAAACTCAGAGCATAAAATTGCCATGCGTGTCGAGAGGTTGGGCAAGCCAACCCAGGCTCCACTGGTACCTGTCAGTGCCAGGCACGTAGAAGAGGACCCAAGAGAGGGAGGCCCCCTCTGCAGGGGAATCAGCGTCCTCGGGTCCCAGCAAATCCTGAGCTCTACTGGAGCTGAGTATAGGACCCCCAGGGCATGGGTAGAGGGGCTGTTAGATCTGGCAAGGAGTTTGGAGATTTGAGTCACAGAGATGTAAAATCAGCAAATGCAGGTTAAACTCCAAAGTCTTGGGCATGCGAAGATACAAGACGATCCATTCCCTCTTTTGCTGACGGGGTCCACAGTCAGTGATGGGAAATCAAGTGAGCTTTTCTGAGTCCAGGCACCTAAAGATAGGGGCTAAGCCAGACCCAGGATGGTTTTCCCTAGGGTTGCAGTTTGGCATTTTTGGGAACCCCTCCCGAGGTTAGGGAGCTGGAGCAGGTGGGGAATAGCTCAAGGACAGGGTCCTGGGTCCCTGGATCCTCTCAGCTGCAGTGTTGCTGAGCATGAACCCTCCTCGCAGGAGGTGGTCCTGGCATTCTCTGGAGTTTGAAGGAGGAAAATCCATCCTTTGTGACCCCTGTGCCTTTGGGCTGGGGGCATGGATGGGGGGCAGTTTGCAGACCCCTCAGAGAAGATCTTGTCTGGGTGTGTCAATGCCACCCTGCCCCCTAAGTTTAGTGTCTGGCAGGGTGGACTTCGGGTTTCTCTACTTCCGTCTGGGACAACGCCTCCCCTCCCCTCCCTTGGGTGGGGGCATTCTCTGGCAGTATGTGAGGGGTGAACTCATGACTCAGGCTCTCCTGGGACATCTCTGTGCGGGAGAGGGAAGCAGGTGACAAGTGCCCATGGTCCTTTTTCTTCCCCAGTGTGCCAACCCCCTGCCGGAGCTGACAGCCCAAGAGGACTGCTGTGGCAGCGTGGGAGCCTTCTGGGGGGTGACCTCCTGTGCCCCGTGTCCACCCAGACCAGGTGAGTGCTGGGTGCCAGGCTCCAGGGTTGTGAGCAAAGCTCTCCCGGGGCCTGACCTCTGCAGCAGACACCCCCTGCCACCCACATCTCCCACCAGGGTCTCAGAGGCCAGGCAGGTGGAAGAGGCTGGTAAACTGGGCAGGCTCTCCAGGTCTGCTTCCGACTGGTCGCAGAGGCTCCTGACAGCTCAGACCCACAGCCGGCTGCAGCATGGCCTGCCTGCTCCATCTGATGGCCTGAAAGAGGTTACTGCCTTTCGCCAGTTGTTCTCGCTCAGATTTTAGGAATCCCATCCCAGGCTGGGCACCCTGGGATACCCCTCAACCCCTTCCACATACCCCCTGCCCAGGTCCCAGGGGCCCCGAGGTTTTTGATTTAGTGACTCAATGTTTCCTTCATTCTCTCCTCCTCACCTATGGCTTCCTGCCTTCCAGTCTTTGAATCTGGGTTGGGCACCTGCCCCAGAATGTCCTGGGCCTTGGGGTATGCGAAACTCTGCTTCCGGCCCTCTTTCCAATGATGGGAAAGCCTAACTTATTCATTCATTCAGTCAGTCAGTCAGCAAATACTCACCAGGTGCCTCGTGTACTCTGAGCCCTGAGAATTCAGGAATGCTGCTCTCAGAGGCATTGATCTTAAAGTTGGGAGGCGGGGACAAGGCTCCTGTGCCTGAGTATGGCTCCTGCCCACTCAGCCTGTCTTCCCCTCCCCGTCCCATGCAGGTCTCCCTCCTAGGTCTGGGCCCAGGCCTGGCGGGTATCTCTTTTGCCTGTCAGCAGTCGACTCGATGAGTCAGCTTTGTGGGGGGGCCTGGCCCAGAGCCCGAAGGTGGGAGCGGCAGGACTGTTCCTTACTACAGACTCGCCTGTGGAGCAGTGATCATATTTTCCAGACTAAAAAGAAATGGGGACAGTTTCACAGCGTGCTAGAATCTTTGGTGAAGCAGCACAGGGTAGTATTTAGCTTCCAGGCCTGAGCGTCCAACACATGATGGGTACCAGTCCCAGCTCTTACCTGCTAAGCTCTCTCTGCCTCGTCTCTGATCTGTGGAGTAGAGACAGGAACAGTGCCAGCCTCGTGGGGCCGCTGTCAAGAATCAGTGAGATGGTGCCTGTACCTACCAGTAGGGCATTTCATGGTAGCTGTTATAGTTACTGTTAGAAAGTATCCCATTGCCTGGTGGGGAAGTGTATGGAACTGCTCAGCATCTCCCCCTGCAGGCCAGAGATGTTTTCACTTTTCTTCCTCCTGGTCAGACCCACTCTTTTCCTTATACCACACTCCATTCAGCCAACACTGATTAAGTACCCATAGTGTGCAGCCCTGACCAAACAGTGAAGAACAGGTAGAAACAGTGATGCCCCTCTCAAGCGTACAGTCTGGTGGTGGAGGGGGGATGCATACAGCAGAACTGGGGCCACGGATAGCTCCTGTAGCACCTTTGTGCAAATGAGTGAAAGGTGCCCCTTCCACGTGTTCAAAATAGTTTTTATAATTAGACAAATGCAGGATGCCAGTGATTCTGTCAGATGTCATCCTCTTGTGCAGTGCGCAACCTGCACATCCGTACACTATGGGCTAGGAGATCTTTCCTCAAACTGGTGGATCAGGGAAGGCTTTTATAGGAGGTGACATCCAGGATGAGATCTGAAGAATTATTAGAGTAAGCCAAAGAGGTGGGGAAGTGCCTAATAACCCAAGAAAATTGCATAGGCCGGTGAGATCGCGCGCATGAGAACGTTTTCTGGAGCAGAACATGCCTAAGGCTGGGGCCTCACCCGCCCCCTGTACCAGGCAGCGCCTCTGAACACCACCTCCCTCACTGTGTTCAGAACATCTCAGCAAGCTGGGCACCAGGGTGCAGACCCTGGAATATTAAGCATTCCCCATACTGAGCAAGAAATCACAAAGACAGGGCAATGTCAGTATTTAAAATGTGATCAAGTGCAGTTGGGCATTGTGGAGAGAAGGGGCAGGACGCTGAGGAACCTTGTTTGTATTGACGGGGTGCCAGACAGCTACACGCCCGAGTCTGGGGAGCCGGGGTGAGGAGTGTTTCTGTAAGTAGGCAAGACAGGCAAACTACTGTGCAAGACTCAGGAAAAAGAAGGCGAGCGGCTGGGGTGGGTTTGGGAATGTTTGGCAAGACAGGCATGACGCCTGTGTTCTAGAACGTTCTCAGCCCTGGTGGCCTTACCCCTCTGAACCTCTACGTCTCGTCTGATAAAAACACTGCTGCACCCCTCAGGAAAGGGCTTTGCTGCTCCCAACAAGGCAGTCTAATAGAATCAAGGAGTGAGGACAGTAATAAAGCCAGAAGCTGTGGGGGTGGGGGGGTAGGGGAGGAGTCACGTGTGACTTCGTAGCTTTCCCTAAATCACCTTTGACTCCTGAGGCTGTATAGGACTGTTGAAGAAGGTCCCTGCAGAATGCTGCTATTTGTGACATGGAAAAGCACTGCCTTGATGTCTCAGTTACATGGCTCAGACAAATCTCTTTTCTTCCAGAAAAAAAAAAATTTCTCGGTGCCTTCTTTCTCAAGAAGACAGCTTAGGGAGTCAATCGAGGCTAGCCTCTGGTCCCCCCCCACCCTTTCTCCCTTCACTCTGAGTGGCAGATGCAGCTGACCTGCCAGGACCTGGCCTGAGCCACATCTTCCTGACCCCGGGCAGTTATCAAAGGTCCCAGCTCAAGAGCTGCGGCTGCCCCCCCACCAGGGTCTGGAGAGCACACAGCCCTCAAAAGCCACTTTGATTGAGGCCACATTTTTGAGTTTTCACCCGAGAAAGACAGACATCTGGGTTGACTGGAAAGTTGGCCGCTGCCCCATCTGGCTTGGCACTGGCCGTGTCAACCCCGAGGCCCCTTTGCTGGGGCAGGCGGGGCTGGCACAGGGCATGCGGCCCGCAGTGGTGGGCCCCAGCTGTTTGCCACGAGACCATCTCTCCATCTGCCTGGCGTGGGATGAGTTCACCTCGGAACCCAGGCCCCTCCCTGTATCTCCAGGGAGAGCGCATTCTCTTGCTCTGCCCCTTTAAGGAATTATACGACTTTCCCTCTGAAACAACAATTATAGCTGCCAGTTACTGAATTTTTACACTATGCTGTGCTTTCACGTGCACTATCTCACTTCACTGTCATGACCACCTGCAAGCTAAGGATCTTTATCCCCATTTGTTGGGGGAGAAAAATGTAGTTCAGAGAGAGCTAAAGAGCTTGTCCAGGGTCACACAGCTAAGACCAAGGAGCGATATTTCAGATCACACTGTGTCTAATGCTTAACGCGTCAGGATCTCCGTAATCGGTGACAGGGGTGGGGGGGTTAGCGAAATCTGCTCAGTCGTGTCTGACTCTTTGCAACCCCATGGACCATACAGTCCATGAAATTCTCCAGGCCAGAATACTGGACTGGGTAGCCTTTCCCTTCTCCGGGGGATCTTCCTAACCCAGGGATTGAACCCAGGTCTCCCTCATTACAGGCGGATTCTTTACCAGCCAAGCCACCAGGGAAGTCCAAGAATACTGGAGTGGGTAGCCTATCCCTTCTCCAGGGGACTTTCCTGACCCAGGAATAGAACCGGGGTCTCCTGCATTGCAGGTGGATTCTTTACCAACTGAGCTACCAGGGAAGCCCTGGGACTGCCTGATCCGTAATCAGCGAGGGGTGGGGTGGGGGTGTTGGGACTGCCTAAAGACAACACAAGTCAGGATGCTAGACCAGGATTTCAGTCAAGAGGGTGCATCCCAGGACCGTATTCCAGGTATACATGAAAGCCAGCATCCGGCCAGAAGACTGGATTGAACAGACAGGCAAGGCACCAGCCTGCAGCCCTGGTCTGAGTTAAGGGAGATGTGTTGAAAGAAACATGGGGTGGGGGAGGAGCAGGTAGGCTTGTTCTGTGTGGTTTGGTGAGGGGGAAAAAGACAGATGTATGGAAATTTCTAGTAGGCAGAGCTCAACTGGAAGCTGAACAGTAGGGACAACTTATTAAAAACTGCAGCTGTCTAGCTCTATAGTGGGATGTTTCCAGAAGTCCTCAGCCCCCCACCACGAAAAGTGTGCCTACCAAGAACTAGTGAGTGGAAGGAGTGGGAGAAGGAAATTGATTTTCAAGGGAATGGAGGTTTATGTAGATGTCTGGAAACTGATTTGAAACTCTCAATAGAAGGAAAGCCTTGGTTTGGCTTGGTTTTGCCATGGTCCTTGCCCACAAGGGGTGTTCCAGCTGTCAGTCTGTGATGTCAGCCCCTGGGGAGAATGGGCATGTGAAGGTGATGTCTGAGGGGGCTGGGGCAGAGAATCCTAGTGTGAGTCACGGCGGCATCACCCCGTCACATCCTCCTTGTGTGTGTGTGTGTGTGTGCATGTTTTGGTCGCCTAGTCATGTCCGACTCTTTGTCCCACCAGGCTCCTCTGTCTGTAGAATTCTCTGGGCAAGAATACTGAAGTGGATAGCCATTCCCTTCCCCAGGGGATCTTCCCAACCTAGGGATCGAACCCGGGTCTCCTGCATTGCAGGCAGATTCTTTACCATCTGTGCTCTAGGGAAGCCCCACATCCTCCTTAGCTGCTCTTTATTCAGAAGATGTGATATGAGTTGGGCACCATGATGAGTTCTTTCTCATTTCATTGCATGCTAACAATGCCTCTAGGTGGTGTTACTATCTTCATTTTATAGATGAAACTGGCCCTGAAGCTCCAGGTCTATGTGACCCTAGCCCCCTAGTTCTAATTGCTCTGTAATCTGCTTCCCCTGCCTCTTGGCTTGGGCATTCGCTGAACTAGAGGACCTGGGCGGGGGGAACAGCTGTGCCAGGGTGGGGCTCCTGTTCCCTGTGACTCTGGGTCGGACGCCCAGTCTCCTGCCCTAAAGAAATGAGATTTTCTGAATTGCAGTTTGTTGGGCTGAAAAAAGTCATGACTCTTTGGCTCGGGGTTGTTCTGAGAGCTTCCAAGGGATTCAGAGCCTCCTGGGAAATGTGCCTCAGTTCACGTTCAC